TCGTGCAACATAAAATATGATCTTAATAATATTTCTATAACTTGATCTTAATAATATTTCAATATTATGTTACCTTAGTCTCATCAATTTCTTAAATTAAGGGAGAATGGTTTTTCGGAGAAATTTCTATTTTGCGTTACGCACAGAATAACATTCTTTCTCATAAATTTGCCACCCTCGCATCTTCGGCATATCCGATTGATTCGCGATACAAGTGACCTTTTTCCGGTCGCATCTCCTCTTTCACAAAATTCGATCCCGACTCTGAACGACTGGTCTGATAGTAGAAGTAATCTGAACGCGGAAACGAATCATGAGATTTGATTGCAGTGAGTCTGTCAGTTATACTGTGTGATCAAATAATATCCGTACCGATAATAATATAGTATAAATATGAGCAAACAAAATTCTGAACGTACGAAATTATTATCTGGATTATATCGAATTATGTATCCGATAATGAAACATTTTATTGAAATTTTTAGATAGTAACTACTGTCTTAATATTTTAAAATGTTATATGTATTTTTATGTTTTTACTACTATAAATTATTATGATAAAAAAAACTTATATTAAATATGAAGATAAATTTTTAACAATGAAAACAAAAATACAACATTGAATATATTGGATACATAAAGTTGATGGCTTGGAAAAAGAATTTAAAGGGAAACGTGGATATATAGAGATGAAAATTAAATATATCTCCAAATCTAAAGCACAATTTAATCCCGACTATACCTTTGTACCATTAATTTCAAATCAAGAAACATTTGTGGAAGTTCATCATCTGTCTGGTATATTGTAATTTCCTATCTCAATCGAAACAACTCTATTCGCGTACCTTCTCGCCGTATGACGCTCGCGCCGAGATATCTGAGCCGCTATTGGTATAATATTGCAGCTTTGTCGCGTCTCTGGTTGAAATGACACGCCGCGATAGTCCGAGCTCCAAATTGGAAGCCGGACAGAACGGGCCGAAAGTACCGCCAGAAACAGAAACGGAGATAGAAGGGAAACGGGGATTGCGGCCGGGCGCTCTAAAGTCTCTCTGACGTTCCGGCAAAACGCGCTGAAACGCGAGCGAGCTTAGGGACGAGCGAACGGCCACTCGTAACTGCAGACGACTCGTCTTCTAAACGAGAGCGAAGCCGAGGTAAAGCACCGCGTTCCAGCCTCCATTTTGCGCAGACGGCTTTAACTCGGGTCTCTCTCTGCCAGCGAGGACACTAAATATCCGACAGACCCCTCGCAAAGCAACCCCCACGTGTACGCGCTTCCACCGCTTGTCGTGAAAGCGATAATTACCAGCAGTAAGTCGGGATCTATTTATGAAACCGCGACACGTACATACATAGATAATTCGGAGGAACTGCGAGTTGGATGTGCCAAGCTTGCGGAACAATCTGCGAAAGAATTTGTAGAGCGACATTCAAGCTTCTCGTCGAATACCTCTAGGAAATGCTTTAGGGAAGAAAAATATGAGAATTATATAATTTTTTTTAATATTTAATGAGGACAGGATCGTATAAAATTATTGAAAAAATAAAGCTGAATTAAACATGTGACACAAAACGTAATAATTGAAATAAAATGCTTTATTAAATTATGTTATAATCATCACAAACTTTTTTCGCTCTAATTTGCATAAATCATAAGAAGCTTGAAAATTTATCACCTTCCTCGCGTAAGAAATTTGTTGAAATAGTATGCGAATAATCGAGGGGTAGAAACCGAAATCCAAAGAGTCGGCATCAGATTGTGGAAAAGGCCGTTAATTAATGCGAGTCAAACGCGCTTAGCGCGGATGCTTTCAGTAGGCAAACTTTATTTCCCACTGAAGGATATTCCCTTTCAGAAGATGCCGCGCGAAGGAAACGAGAGGAGTGGAAAAGCGAACGACTTCTCTTCCGACGAAGTTCTCCGCGTAACAATATGGCCGGTCTACCGAAGGAACGGCGACGCTTTACCTCCGTATCTTTCCGAGCAGTCGCTGCCTCTACTTTAATTAGTCCGCCCGTCGGTAAACAATAAGCCGTTATTTCTGACAAATTAATTCGAAAAACAATTCCAGGTCTGTCGAATCGCCGTCTGCGCCGGTGCAGCCGCCAGCTTTTATTCCGTTGGGGACGCGCATCTCAAAATGTAACGAGCATCCCTTTCATGTAATACTACACTGTGCCCTATGCTTCGCCGGAATTTCTGAGACCCAACCGCGTTAAGCTCCCTTAGGATCCTCTCCGACCGCAAGAAAATCAGACGTTCATCGTTGTCGAAGAGCAAAAACGCTGATCAACAATTCCGTCTTAAATTATTGAATCGAATCATTCTCGTCGAATTTATATTTATGAAAAAAAAAACAGTTCTTTATAATCAGGTACATTTATAAGGAATTCGAGATTTTCACAAGCTTTATAATATTTATTTAATAAGAAAAAAATGTATGTTAAAATATTTTTAAAAATGCCTATAAAATATGAAACTACATACATGTCAAAAAATATGATTAAAAGATAGAAATTGATATTTAATTGAATTACATTTAATGTGGGAGAAAATTAATTATGAATGAAAATTTCTTTCAATTTTTAAGTACGTACACAACTTTCTAGTTATACTCCGGTTTAACTTTTCGGAAAGTAAGAGCCGATTTCAAGTTTGCAAAGATATTTCTAAAGCTTAACGCGAACCTTACACGTCCCGTGTAACTCGATCATAATTAAGTACCGCGGGGAAATTTGCTCTTCATCATGTCGCTTCCTCTTTTCCGCGCGCTTACGAAACGCATTTTCCGTGCCAGGAGATACGGACGGTTACTCTCAGACCGGCCAAATCGTTTTGTCGTCGCTGGTACGATCCTCGCTGTTATCCCTCGCGCAAATATTTAAGCGTACCGCGTACACTCTGGAGATTACACGAGCACAGCTCGGTTCGTTTCGTCCGACTTCATCTTCAACATACTGATCAAACCCCATTCCATTTTATCGCGCACGCTTGTTATGTAACCATCGTACAGTATACAATTAAATATCGTCTCTTATCATACAATAAAATTGATACTTGAATAAACTGACGAAAAATAATTTTTATCAATCATAAATATTATAAAAAGCAATATGGTTTTTTTCACAACATATTTCAAAAATAAAGTTTCGCTAAAATTTTGGAGAACGAAATCTTTACAAATGAGACGAATTTTGCAGAAAGAAATTATATTAGACTTTTTTCAATCCTTTATAAATATTATATTTATTCTGTAATTTATTAATAATTAACGAATTTATTAATTATAAATTTCTCTGAGCATGCACATGAATAACTAAAGTGTCTAGGGATGCTGAAAGTTATATGTACCAGTATATTGTTATATCAGCGCGAGGTTCTGCGAGGGCGATTGAAAGTCGAGATATATCTCTCGGATAGTCCGATGCTCCGTCCAATCTCTATCTTCGCTATCACGATTCGCGTTTCGAGCGCGTTTGGCGAACTTGGGCCGTTTCAGGAAGCTTCCGTTGCGGATATTCAGTTTGATAGTTTAAACCGGATATTCGACACCCGTCCTCTCGAACGGCGAATGGAAACGGCGAAAGGGTTGTAGCCAAGTGGCGCAGGAAGGGTAAGGGGTGGTATAGTAGCGGACTTATAGTGGCGCGAGACGCTCATCTGCATTTCAAATTGCACGCCTGTACGAAGATTTGTTACGCGCACACGTTCTTTCTCCATGAATCCAAACGTGTGCAGTATCTGAGAAATCGAGCGATATGGAAAAATTAATGGATACACGAGATGTCACATTTATGATTCACTTTAATCATATGATGATTATGCAAGATTTAACACTGCACTTACTCTCATAAGTCAGCTTTACTGGAGACTCGATAAACATCGAGAATTCAAAAATATAGAAAAATATGTAAAAGATCCTTCACATCGATTCATACTTGTATGAATAATATTTATTACGTAAGAAAGCATGATATATTTTTAAATATATTTTTTCTGATTAGAATAAATTTTATTTCCATGCACATGCACTTGTATTTTCCCTGGCTGACAGGTGCGCGCACGTTGCATGTCTACTTGTGTGTACCAAAGACGTCACTCGTGCATGTCGTGATTGTTTTCGTTCGCATACACGTACATCGGAGGATAGCGTGCACATAAGACGGAAATTCCGCTGGATAGCTGCGGTGGCCCACGTTCTTCTCCTGCTCCCCTGTGGTGGAATTGAACGGCCACGGATTTACGGTAAGCGCCGCGCAAACGAAACGAGCGGAAGTCGACCGTGCTTCCGGATCAGACGGCTAAGCGAAGGTTTGCACGCTGCGGGCTCTCTTGTCCCGATTAAACTACGCGGAAATCCTATCGAGGAGCAGACGCTGTTATACATGCGAGAGTGCGTTCACGTTACGTGCGTTACGTTCACGTATTTGATTAATCCGAACGAAAATTGTTTCTTACGTAACCGCGGGAAATGAATATTTAAATTCCCCGGCTCATCGCGCGATTTCCGTTAATTAATTCTGAATTTAACATCTGCCTGTCTCTCTAGATCAGAAATTTTCCATATGTTGATAACGTTTTATTGTTTTGTTGTTTTCTTGTTGGATTTTAAAAGAATTTATCTCTTTAGGATTTAAATTTTAATCTAAAATCCTATTACTTTATATTTTATATCTATAAAAATATTTTATATCCATCCATGTTTTTCTTTTGGGAATTTAAAAGAATTTATTTTTTTAGGATTTAAATTTTAATCTAAAATTCTATTATTTCATATTTTATATCGAAAATTTTCTTTTCGATAATTTTATATAAGAAATCCAAGTATGATACGAGGTTAAATGGCCGGATGAAAAATATCCGTATGGGTTCCATCGTCGCGTCGTCCGTGATAGAAGCGATCGGTTAGAGGAATTCATGATCGGCTATTTTCCAGAATAGCGACCGAAACTTCGTCGTCTGCGCCCCCGAGGCTGCAATATCGATAAGGGCTTACCTTCCCGACTCCGGTGAGCTCCTTTACACCTATCCTCCTGAGAAGAGCAGGCGGTGCCGGAGGTGGTGACTTGAGAAGGAGCGCGGCGTATCCATTGGGAAAAATGGGCAGCTCGTCAGATCCGATGTTTTCGTCGCCGGAACGTCGTCTCCGATGCGGGCTCGACGATAGATTCAATTTCTGCGCTGCTCTGTAATGTAAAAATTTTCTTTTAATATTATACAAAAACGACGCTTTTATTTTCGAAAGAAATTGAATTCTATTAATTAGAGCAATTATACGTTAATATAATAATTTTTATTAATTATATAATTTTGTCTTATTAATTGTAGTAATTACATTTCTTCAATTATTCTTATATGTGTATTATTCTCATTTCAAACATTATTATGTAATTGTCACATCTATGACGTGAAATATATCGAACGACCGTAACGGGACAAACACTCGACTCTCTCGAGCATCCACGTTGCTCCCGTCTCGACTTTCTCAGGCGATGTTTATCTCGACGGATGCGCGTAGCCGTACCTGCGAAGGGTCGCCGCACTCCGGAAGGTATGTGTCTCGGGGGCGACTGGGTGACATACTCCGCGGGGCGGGCCTGGTAATCAGCGAAGGTAATGTGCCGGAACCCCCAACCGCGGGGGGGTTGCATGCGAGGTAGCAGGCGTTTAAAGGGGAACGAGAACGCTATATGCGCCACCGTCGGCGTCAGTTTTGGCGACGGGCAGGGAAGTTACGCAGGGTGGTCGCCCTAACTTCTCTTCGCCCCTCGTGGGCCTCGTTAACCCACGCTCTGTGAAATTGGAAATACCAGCGACCTCTCGCGCGCTTCCGCTCGCTCTCGAGGTCACCCCTTCCTCTCTTCCCCTTCCCCCTGCGTCGGCGTTTCCGCGGCGCGTGATTCTACCGGATTCCGAGTGCCATAAAAAATGGAAGGTGCGGGGGAGGATGCGATGGGACGTCGGACGGGACGCGAGATGCAGGTCGCTTTGCATCAACCGACCGCGTCGCATTCCTTCGTCGGTCTATCAAGTGAATCACGCTGCTCTTTCGCTCACGCGTGAGCAGGTGCGAGCGAACGGCGCGTGAAACGACTTACGAGGATTGCCGACGTGTCGGCCGACAATTTCTTTAATAGATTTCCAAGTGGCATCCGAAGAGAAAAGGAGAGAAAGAACGAGCGGATGAGTTTATCACTCGCGGACCTGGTCCCTCGAAGCACACAGTGAAATAATAGGGTAATTTTGGAACAGACGACCATAGTTTTAGGAATAGATCGCTACAGTAAAAAAAACGTACTACTCGCTAAAAGAGAGGTTCTCAAATTTTTGCTAAGTTTTTGTAGGGAAATCTGAAATGTAACTATGTGCACATGCGTGTATATATTTATCATCATTATCACATTTTACCAGCATCATTACATTACAAAACTTTTGTACGCGTAACGTAAAAATGTTTTCTTTCTTTATAACGAGTTAAAAATGAATGCATAAAATGCTCCACGTTTGCAGCTGTAAATGACTAAATTGCAAAAATAATTAAAAAATTAATCTTTTAGTAAGCACTAGAGTTTGAAATAAATTTCTGCGGACGAATGAAAAAACAGTCAACGTTGTGTAAAAAAAATGAATATTTTCAAAGTTACTTGCACAAAAACTAATCCTATCTCGGCCTATCGGGATGCGCTCGTATCTCGCAAATCCTTTAAAAATCATGTAAAACCTTTAAGGCAATTAGAGTACTCGGCAAATATTGCGCAAAAGCTTTCGAATGTTTTTTGTTCGGGTGCAACGACGCCGAATTCGTGTAACGCGCGCGGCTCGTCGCCGCACAACATCCATCGACAAACGAAATGTTTTGCCGGCTTGTTCAAAAGGATTGTTTTCGCGCACTATCAACGTTGTTGCGCACAATAAACGGCAGCGACAGAGGAAAAAAAAACGACAACAGGGAGATCCATGAGATCGTGCCGTTTTAACGAGGGCGGCGACTGCCTGTTCGTCGTGTCGCGTTGCTCTTCGAAACTTTATGCATTTTTTTGCATCAAACAAGTGGAGCCTCGCGAAACTCTCTCCAAGTTTTTATGCTTGCTTTAATTATTTACAGTCCTCTTTTCTAAGAGACTCAGAAGAGACGAGGAAAAGAGTTTATGGAGCGGAACTTTGGCGGACAAATTATATCTGAACTTTCGGCCACTTTCGGGGAGCATATCGTGTTTTTTCGACGATAAGAACAATGCAGATTTTTTCCTGCCTCTTTTTTTTACGCTCGTAACGATGTTGGCCATGTACCAAATAGATAATCGCATCATTTTTCGTTGCAAACGTGCGATCTCGTTTGCTTTAAATCTCGTGAAATTCTGGCAAGAATAATATCAAATGTTGCCGCGCTCTTTAGACGTAATGTTGAACATATAATAAAACATGACTGATCCCGGCAAGATATTTCTGTAATTAACGCAGACGCAATTAAGTAGAATCTGCCGCATTAGCGACCTCAGGAGCTTCCATTTCATGTTCTCAATTACACGCGATAATAAAAATTCACTGCAAAGAAAAAGTGTACTAGAATATTCGTAAAAACTAATTAAAAATTTGATAATTTACATATTATTTAAAATATCGTCATTTTAAAATATATTAAAATATGTAAAATAAGTTAAAGTAAATTAAAATATATAAATTTATAAAATATATGATATTTTTAGCGATATAAGAAAAAGAATACGTAATTTTAATGACAGTATATACTGTAATATACTCTAATATTAAAAAATTTACACATAAAATGTTACAACACTTTAATTAATTGAATAAACTGATTAATTGAATAAACTGAAGATGAATTAAAGAAATTTTAATATTAATTTGTAATCAGATATTTACCGCTATACACATTTAAAAAATAAAAGCAAGAGTGTTTGTTAAAATCTCATTTTATAATATAATCATTACGCAGAGGTAAGGTAAAAATACTGCAATGTTTTGTCGCAAGTTGATGGCACAGTAAGATTACAAAGCAAGCGGACTATTCTGAAAATAATGTATCTTTTACTTTGCAATATATGCCTTAGGAGAATCCAAAATAGAATGTGAACGGATGTGGTAGACGCAGGTGCGTGTCACAAAAGCACAATCTATTTCATCAATCAGGAGGAACAGATGCGTACTGGGTTTCCTCATACATGTATTCAAAACCTCCAATGAAATATCGCCAAAATTCTCATATCCTCCGTTGTCATTGACATTTAATATCTTAAGAGCGAGGTATATAAAATGCCAGTGCATGGAATATTAAACTGCGCGCCGTAAAAAAAAAAATACGACCGTACAACAAATCCTGTCGTTCATACTGCGTATTTCTTCTTACTATACATGGAAAGTGCATATTGAAGATTTGTAAAGAAGAAGACTGTAAACGTATAAATGATACTTCAGAAAAGCAATATATGCAAATTTTATCTTTATTATATTTCATACTATAATTTATTATATTATATTATGTACATTCATTATTTCTCGTCCAATTACACTCGCATTTGTATCTCTGTGTTCTACAACAGTTATTCATTCGTTCAATTTATATTTGGGACACGCGTTTTACAAAATGACTAATTTCAACCATATTGTTGATTTTCCCAACGGAGGTTTCGACGTATTAAGCATTTGTCATCCGGTTCTCGGTGCTCGGTGCTCGGCGCGATTTGTCGCGACGCGTCGGGCAATCGTAAATTTTTTGCAGCGCGCATTTTTACAATAATAAAAATATCGCGGGTAAAGCCGACGAGGGAGATCGCGGGACCAGCGCGTAATTCGCGCGGAAATTACACGCTTAATTCGCGATGTTATTTACGAGCGAACGGACACAGGCCGACCACCCCCGGGGGAAACGGACGGGGAAACTCGGAGGCATGTACGCCGCGCCCTTCTTGGCAATCCGCCACATATCTCGGCTTAATCAAGGAAATTATGGCGCGAAACGCTCTAAACGTCCGGTCTCGTTAGTAAGGTCGCATATCTCTCGTCGCGACAGCGTTCGATATCGGCGCGGCGTGCGAATTAAAAACTTTTGATAAAGAGACGAAACATGACGAGATTTCTACGAGTCGGGTTTTCGCGGTCGGGAAAAACGAGCAGGATAGCCGCGAGTTTTATAAGCGGCGAATTAATTAAATACCTCGCAGGAGAAGCGCACGCGACGATCGACCTTTTTAGAAGCAAGGCCGCGAATAAACCTCCAGGGTCAAATATAAATAGCGACGATAACGATGAGACCATCTGAACAAACATGCGTATCGTCCCGATGGTACCTGTTCACGGGGAATTTTTATAAAAACCATTCATATTTGCAGATCCAAGAGACTAATCATTCTTTAGAGTTAAGGGAGATTAGATATTTTTTGTGTTTTTTTTTATAATCTTTGTCTTATGCGTGTGCATATGATCTAACATAGCGCTTTCCAGACCATTTTATTTCATAATTTAAATTTACTTCATAATTTAAAGTATGCCTGCAATTGAAACTGATATTATTATTACGCCAATAGTCACTAATCGAACGTTGTCAATGATATTTCGAGTTATCCTACGCGAAAGGGAACGAAGGGGTTTTGATAGCCGCGGATGACGTTGAAAGTTATAAGATTCACCGAGCCACGACAAATTATTTGTCGAGACTGGCGGTAAATGAAATTTCTTCCGGACGGATTAAATTTGCATCCTCATTAACTGCTTTTCCTGCCTGCGGAAAGTTACAAAGCTCCCGTCGTTCTGTAAACACCTTAATGGATGCCCGACGAAAAATCTCTAATACTTTTATGACCGCGGAACGGAACACTCGCATAGAGAGTTTTTTTTCCCCGCATTGTACGACGGAGAGTATCAGCAGCGTGTGCCTATCGTTATCGCACGCGTTGCACTCTACGATATTTCATAGGGTGGGGAATAATTGTAGTTTAAATTCGGCTCTCTCCCTGTTCGTTGCAACCGATATCAGTAATCGCATTATTACGTGAATCCGGCTCTCGACCTATTACTAGTGAAGTATTATCGCTCGCAAAGTTAAGCCTCTTACACTGCCTCTACGATCTATAAATTTTACATTGCTCTCGCTTCGCAAACGCGCTCGACTTTTGGGCGAGCCTTCCTATGGCAATCCACAGGATGGCAAAATAATACACTGGAGTGC